CATCCAACACATTGAAAACTTCTAGTATGCTGACGCTAGAACGAGTGCGGATGAAGGGGGGGGGGGGCGTCATGAGTGAAGCCATTGATGGATCTTCGAGCATGGGTGGGGTCGTCGATTGATTCTTTGAGGGGAGGGGGATGTGTGGACGTGAGTGATTGGAGTCGGTGATCGGCGACTCTGTTCCCTGGGTTGAGGATTTTATATAGGTTTGGTGTTCAGTTCTTGTTGATTTGTTTATCATGGAATATGAAGCTGATGTGGGGTTGGAATGGCTAGGGTGTTCCAGCTTCTATTCAACTGTAATTGATCTTAGGAGTAATAAAAGAATGATAAATAATCGTATGTATTTCCGTAGCTAAATGCACTGAAAGCGAAAAATAGAGATATCGAAAGATACATTAGCTAAATTCACATGTGTCAAATGTAATCCTAATCCATTGAGTTAAACCTATTAAATATATGGGAATTTTACAACGACAAAGAAATAAAACTGCTATGAGTAAGTGATGATTACTGTTGGCGTTCGTAGTAAATTTGGATTAATGATAAAAATATTATTTTGTAGTTGAGTGTTTGTTCCATTTGGATTCATAAATCGCAATCAGAGTTGCTTGTTCACGGAGTTGCCGATTTCTGAATGGAATGGTGAATGGTCTCATGGTAGTGAAGTGGATGGGCTGAAGTATGTAGATGAGGGTGAGGATGACTGGAAAGTGACATTGGCTTAGAACAGACTAAGATTGATGATTGACGTTCTATATTTTTGACTCTTGTGTATGATTCGTGGCGCATTTGATATGTTGTGTATGATTGTGATATTGTTCGATTGAAGTGGCTCTAGTGCTTATTGTATTGCGTCATCGGTCCTTTCTTCTTATTGCATATTGCATTGATAGTATAAAATTGAGGTTTTTATATGCCTCTCCAAATAGAGTAGGAAAAATTCAGTATTTTGTTTTCGAAAGTTACTAAATATATCTGTGCAAAACATTTGAATTGCTGTGAAGTCTATCGATGCAGAAACAATGGGCAAGTGCGATATAGGAAGAGACCACCGACGCTAGCATAAACGCTCTTTTCCCTATAAATACTGTATATATGGCTCAAGAATCTCAAGTTATATGCAAATGATTCATGGCAGAATGCCATGACAATTGATTCTTCGTGTAGAAATTGTTAAATCAATTTATCTCACAATTAGGACACGAAAAAAATATCTGTCCTCCACAGTCAAGGATTGAGTGAGTCGGCATGGCGAGTGCTACTTGTTGAGATAACTGAAAAAGTAAGCTTGTGAAATGGCCAAAACGTTTTCAAGGATTAAATGGTGAATTTTTTATACGGAATCTTCTGAACATCATAAAAAGTGCTCGGAAATATTTTTCTTCTCGATGATTTTTCATGAACAGTAGTATATTCAATCAAACTCGTTCAAACGTCGATCAACAGAACAACAAATGATTGATTTACGGTGCATAAAAAGTAGGTAGCGTTAGATAGAACAGTTCGCCGCTATTTCAGCAATGAACAAGAGGTTTACCTCGATCAAGTTGTAGCTCCTTACTGACTGAAGGCAAAATTGGTTGTTTTTCATAATAAGAGACGATATTTACCTTTTGTATGACTTACTCGTATATATTTCTCCTAAAATATGTGTATATATATCTTACGTACGACATAAGCGTATTTATGAGAGAAGCAAAAGTGAAAAAAATTACATATTAGGCCTATGAAAAAGAATGAATGAAATGCACTCATGCATGCCCGAAAGTATGGATGAAATATGTGCGCATGTTGTAAACAAAAATCAGAGCGTACACAACAGAAAAGAAAGCGCTCTTATATTTTCGATACATCACAAATACTTCAAAAACATCTTAAAAGCAGTTGAAATCGGATTCTACGTAGTTCGTATTCGTGTTAACCGAGCATCACATAGAAATAGCATGAGTATTAGTGATAGCATCTCCTATTCCTGTTCGCTCGAATTCTGTCTAAGCTGGCCCCTTCACATCACCTAAAACTTGCATAATAATTTTTCGTTTAGTCGAGGACGCCATAGTGGCTCTATGCGCCTGAATGCTGATTCAGAATCCAGATATCAGAAGGTTCGATTCCTTCCCTTGGCACGGTGTCGCTGGTCACACAATGGATGGTATCGGAAGAACAAAAACAATCTAGGCATATTCATACGACGACTACGTCACCGCTGCCCACAGTCTGCGATGTTTTCTGTTCTCTTTCTCTGTTCATTATCATCATATTGTCTCCTCGACCTTTTCCTAGGCGTTCGGAAAAAAACTGTAAAAAAATTACAAAAAAGGATGAACGGAACGAAATAAATTTCGCACAATCCAAAAAAAATAAGATTCGTTTAGCAAAAGGTAGGACTCTTGAGATCACAGAATGGTCTACTCTCCTCCCTAGTAGATTCCTCTTAGAATTGTATGGACGAATACAGTTTCATACGGTTAACACAGCTCCATAATATTTTTTGTACACTTTGATTCCAATTACTATAACATTTTAGAACTTACCGTCACCATATATATCCTTGTAAAGGTACCTCTACACGTAAGATCTCTTTACTATACTTAGTTGATAGACAGGGTTTCTAAATGGTAATTAAGAGTTGGAATCATCAAATCAGTGTTTTTTCGCCTATCACCGAAACAGTAGCCGAGTCCCGAGACTATTCACAAGTAATCCGCTTTAAACATTGTTCAACGAGTGTTTTGACTATCTGAAAATATTTGTCTAATTCCTCTTAGCTAAGAGTGTATAATAGTTTGTATAAAGATATCTTTCCAGATGAGGAACAAAGAGATGGATTTATTAAAAGCAATAGGTATTATATATGTTGTTGGCGTTCATTACCACTTACCGTGGATATTCGCATATCCTTGTACAACATTCGTCATGTCACTGTTTTTCTTTATTTCTGGCTATTTTTTTAAATCAGTTCATGGATTTCCTATGAAATTATTTTATTGTGCAAAGAAGACGAAAGAGCTGATATTACCTTATTGTCTATATCAGTTCTTGTTTACAGTTATCTGTTACTGTTTACAAGTATATTTATCAGTTAATTTAATAAGAATTTATTTCAACATGGATTTATTAGAATATTTAATGGCTCCACTTCTCAAACCGATATTTGGCGGTATATCTAGTATTTGTGCTGTAGGCTGGTATATATCTGATTTATGGCTTATAATAATCATTATGCAGTTTATCTACATTAACAAGAATGACGAAAAACAAGTTGATATTGTTTATTGTATCTGTTTTTTATTAATAACATTAGTGAATATTCGATGGTCATATACATCACCTCGTTCCACGACACCATCTACATCACCAGATACATTACCGTTCCTTAACCATAGTCTGTTTAAGCGTATTTTCATTCGAACATCATTTGGGTTCTTGTTTCATTTTTGTGGGCTGGTGTATCGTAAACATATCGAGAAGTATCAGGCAATCTTATTCACAGGAAGAAATTTTCTTTTAGCATTTATTATTATTTGCCAAATTGTATACTATTATGGAAACGATACGTTTTATCTCCAGTACAATGCTGATTTTAAATTTGCACCAGTTTGGTTACCTATTTTAACATCTTGTATCGGTATCTATCTTTATATATTCATTGCAAAATGTGCCTCAACGCATATTGCTGACGATGATATTTTGATAAAAATTGGCAATGAAACATATCATATTATGTGTCTGCATCTACTGATATATTTTTTTCTAAATATTATTATGATTACAATGTTCCAAGAGAAAAACTTTCAACTTCTAAGTTCAAATCAAACTTACAGATACCAGTCAGAAAAGAACTGGCCTCTCTATGTTAGTTCAGCTTTACTGATACCAACTTTTGGAGCTATTTATACTCGGAAATTCACTAGACGCATAATTGGTAGCATAATGTCCGCTAAGTTGAACCATAAACTTACACATCCTCCTTACTCTTCAACGCTGGTGCATAAAAGACATTATGACGAACTTATAAAATGACAGTTACTCTTCACTGGTATTTAATTATCAAAGGATCCCTCGTATAAATTTGCTCTTATATATGATAAATAATATATCACATTCTCTCTATGTTTAAGAGTTCTCTTTCTCGCACATAAGAGCTTGGCGAATATAAATTGTCTGATCGATTTGTTTTCATATTCGTTATTGCGTGAATTTGAATCTGTTAAATTACAGCGCTTTTTGGCCTTGCTAAAAAGTTCAATCAGATAATTGAGATCTAATAATTATCTGAATGACTTGAAAGTCAAAGTTTAGTCGCTGTGAACGGAACTCGAGACAATGCTCGTCGACACTTTGCATTCAATGTTGAGCTTTAATGTATAAGTTGGTATCTTGAACAAGAAGACTTCAACATAAATCTAAAAGAGAGTTGCTTTATAATTTAAGTTTCGCGATCAGAACTTTTGGTACGTCATAAGGATTTACGTATCACCGAGTCTATCATCGCACGTCCTATCTCAGGTGGCAGTTCCGATGAGCTTTCATTTCATTAAGAGTTCTTTCCTTTCTCGTTGGCGATGCTTGAATCGTCATAGCACCGATAAGTAATAAAATATTTGGAAACCCTTGTTCTACTGGTAGCATTTCAAAGCACAATTCGATCAAACTTGTTAATTACCTTTCTTTTAATATCAATTGTAGTACTTGAATATCTTTATTCATCAATTCTATATCATATTGTAACATAATAAAAAGCTTTCAACTGTCGAATTTCTAAAAATGTTTAAGTATCAGACGGTAATAACAAACTCTGATAAAGAACTCGCATTATTTTTTGAAAACGAACATTCATTAAAGTAAGAATAGAATCAACTATCGAATGGAAAACATTCTACATTGACGCGCACTATCAATTTCTTCATGTTTTTACTCATTTGAAGAAGGTAGATTCATTGTATTAATCCACATCACTTCAGTAATTCTCTCGACTCAAAGGAGGGTCATACGAAAAAAAATAGTTTGTCTGTTTGTTTGTGTCGAGGTCAAAGGTTAAAGGTCCAAAAAAACATGTTTTCGAAAATACTCAAAACTTCATAAAAGATTGTTTGGAAGGGATTTTGAGGCTCGAGGTTGGTTACGTCAAAAGAACACTGAACTAGTGGGAACGCCAAGGATGGACTTGAACTGTCTGAGCTTCCCCAAGTGGAAAATTATCGTGCCGCATCCATACTGAATCATAGGGTTATAGGTGAAAGTGATTCATACGGGAAAAGATGGATTGAATAGGAATGCGATGTAATGGCACTACTTGAATAACTGATACTCGAGAACTTATGGTAAAAAATGCAGTCTGATAATCAATGCGTAAAGGTTAAGTGCAAAAATTCAGCACTTTCCATGATCGTTGAATCAAGCAGCAAGTTCAGAAATTCGATTCGTCATCGATAAATTTATTCTTCTGAGTTAAAAATGCAATTAAATATATTGAGTATAGTGCAGAAGAAATGATGGATTGTAACGGCTAATCGTTCGTCGGCCTCTCTCCGGTCGACCACTCACGGTTAGCCGTCAGTTTGTAAGACTTTTCATGAGTGTAATGAATAATATTCTTGAGTCAAGACTCTTGACGTTTCAAAATTTTTCGGAAAGACGAGTGACAAGCGAAAAAAATCTCTACCGAGAAGTTGTACCTAAAGGTATCCATTGATTTGACCCAACAAGGTTTTTATTTAAAAACGTTCATTCGGACTATAGAATTTTTTTGGTTGAAATAGCTAGGATATAAACTTTTTCTTCAGTCGAGGGTTCAGCGAGCCTGCCTCGACGAGCGTGACTAGCTGTAGTAGCGTTATGCTCAAACTTGAGTCCTAATCTTTCATAGGTACGAAGTCTTCCAAAAAGTAAAAACATTTCCCTAAAGGTATCTTTTTTTCACCACTCACTGAGCAACTTTATTTTATTTGGCACAGGGTATGTAGAAAAATATGTTAACACTTTGTTCTGTTTTCTATTATTCATACACTTAGGCATGCATCAATACCAAAACTAGTTTTGAAGTTTCGCTATTGAAGTCTTGGTTTTGATGTGGCTTTGATTTCAATATTTTAGTTTTGATTGTTGAAAACAGTCTTATTCGATTTATCTTGAAAAACGAGCAAAAGTATTGAAATCACATCAAGACCAAAACCATATCAAAACCCATACCAAAACTGCCAAAACCTTATCCAAACCTATACTGCAAAACCAAAACTAAATCAAAATCAAATCCTCAAAACCCAAGAGGTTTGGTATTGGTGCATGACTACATACAGTTAACTATGATGAGATTAAATTTTCACCAAAGCTTCCACAGTTGGATAGTGTCAGACTAGAAAGTTTTTGGATCATTATCACTAACAATTTTTCAAAGAGCGACTGCTTCCCTTCCCCGCGCGCGGAGACGCACAAGCAAGACTCTGCACCTCTGTACTCTTTGTTAACTTGATATAAACTCACTTATTTGAAAGTAAACAAAACTTATACTGGAAGAGAAGTGGTATACTCTACCAAGAGTCACACCTGTATACATGCTGATAAAGCTAAGTGTATAAACATATGAAAGAAATACACAAACCCTCGGACTAGCCTCACATAATATATCATCAATTCGATGCAAAACTATGTCATATATCCGCTGTAAAAACATCTGCAAAGCTTACTTTTTTAAGTAGTTAAATATCATATGGTTGGCAAAGCTACCCAAATGATTTATTTGGCATGAGTCATTCGCACTGATTGCGCGCTTAGTCAATATGTTAGACAGAAGCCGACTCAGAATTATTCTGCATTTTAAGACAGGAATGGTCAGTACAGTTATGAAATTCAGCGTCGAAAAGGTGGAAACTCAAAGGAAGGTTAATCTAAATGTGGCTTTACAACATAAATACCATACTCCAGTCTTTTTCATGTCTATCATTGTAGGCTAACACAACTAAAAAGTACTACGGAGTGACGTAACATTTCCAAAAACGACATATTTCTCCGTATTTTTTTGTTTAGAAATCAAAAAGACTAAATGATTTCATGAATAAATGTGAAATGAGAATCTTTTCCTTCTTTCTTATTTGTGTATACTTCCATGAAAAGAAGAAGAAAAAACGATTATTCTTTCATTTTTTGTCTATTCATCTGTCTAGACTAAATGGAACACTAGACAACAAATTTCTTACATGATAACTGTGGTTTAAAATTATTATTATGATCGACTTTCTTTTAAACTGGATGAATCATTGTCGACGAAAATTAACCCACCGAATGATACACAAATGGTACTGCTATCGATAAACATATTTGAAGTTGGTTCGCATGAAAATTTTGTTGTTGTTGTGTTTTTCTTAGTACTTAAACAATTAATTTACATAGTTGTAGAAATATATTCGAGGTTTTTGTTCATTAAAAGGTTTTTGTCGATGTTTTATACATATTAAATATACCTAGCTATAATATTCTTACTTTTCTTTCCAAATTTTTGACAATTTCAAAGAACATCGAATCACATAAAAACTCACAGAATACAAACTTACAACAAGTTAACATAAAATGAATATCTCATAATCAGTTCAAGAAACAAAAATAGTTTCAGATTAGGACACATCATAAGAATCAATCGACAAAGAAAGCGATAAAATAATTTATTGTTTTCTTATAGTTCGGGTAATAATAAGAGGCCAAAGTTGAGCCGAACGCCGAAGCAGGCCGAGTCTTTCTGACTGGTCGACGATGAATCATATTTTTTATTCAAACAATTAGAGAGATTCGGTCTGCTTCGGTCTTTTATTATTACCGTTATAGTTCAATAGACTTTACACACAAATAACAACTAATTGACTAATAATTTTGGACTAGTCCAGTCTTTTAAAGCGACACCATGTCCATTCATTCATCTATCTGTGCATTCTATTGATCGGTCAATCTGTTAAATGATTAACATATTAAGAAATGCACTGTTATAGATCATTTAAGAATGGTGAACTATATTTGTTAGAATATTTTCTTCTAGAGATTATGTTATAAGCTACACCCAACCTATTATTTTACAGAACTGATAAAAAATGCTGGCACCGACTCATCTGCGTCAACTTTGATAATCTTTGATGAAGTTTTGTTGAACGCCATAATTGATGCAGCGATCAGAGGATAATAGTATGCATGTAACACGCTATGAGTATACTTTTCTTTCGTAGATAGAATACAACTAAATGATTCTCTTTGTTTTAAATCAAACATTTACTTTAATTCTCTTTCTCGTGGAGAAGAGTCCAGTAAACAAAAATTGTCTGATTGCTTGCTTGCTTGTACGTCTGGAGGGTTAAAAAAAGTGCCGAAAATCGATTTTTCAGAAAACCAATTTCTAGAGGTACTTCCATGCCGGCACTTCGAATCTGATGTTAGTTTTTTCAAAATCTGTAAACAAAAATTTTTTAAACGCAATGGACCACTTTTTTACAAAAAAAGTTATGAAAATTGTGTGTAAGTATGATAAATAAAATACTGTGTTTAACCCGTCGCAATCTCATATTTAGTAATTAGTTTTTCTAAACGAATTTTCAGTATCGCCTAATGACGTATTCTGTATAATAATTTTCCTTATTATATAAGTATTATATAAAATTAAAAACTAAACTGATATCATCTGCTATCATCTATCAGATAACAAGACCGAACTTATACTCGATCTCTTATCCTTCGTACCCAACATGCCTGTACTTCTCATCGATAACACTACGTGTGAACTAGGGCTTTCGAATGGTACACAAGGAATTTTTTGAGAGCTCATGTATGATGATCACGAGGATCCGAGCGATTTAAAGGTAAAAAACGAAGTATTTCCTTCAAATACGATCTACATACGAAAATCATGATGTGTACTCGTGAAAATTAATGCATCACAAATAGAAACAAATCTTGATGGTCTTCGTCCTAAACTAATTCCTATCCCATTAATCAAAGAGCGACTCACTGTTCCTATAAAGCAATTCTTCGGGCGTCTACGCGATCGACTGCAAAGTGGGAGAAAAAAAATCCACAAATCACTCAAGGTACAAGAAGGCAACTACCAATTGTGCCTGCCTTCACTATAAATACATACAGAGCGCAAGGACTCACAATGGACAAGTTCGTAGTCGATCTTCAAGTTCCGCCTGAAACACTGCAAGTAGCATCGATATATGTACCACTCAGCAGAGTGAAGAAAGGAGATGATACAGATATCTTTTGACCTTTAGACATGAAGCTTCTACAAGTTCAACTTCCTTCTGTGCAAGACGCTAAACTGACACGTCTAGATGAACTTACCAGAAAGACAAAGCGAGAGTGTATCTCTTTCATTTTTTGAACACGTGCAAATCGATACGTTGCTAAGAGCCTAGTGTTATTGCAAGCATATAAAACGTAACATAATTTGAAATTAGCTTAAAATAATTATTCATATATGTTCATTTTCTTTAACTCTTTCTTCACATTTATCTTAATTATTGTAGTAACTGTTTCCCTTTTCTCATTGTATCATATGTTGCTTATTGTGTTTTTTCGTTTTCGTTTTTTGATATAATCATCTACAATTTTCCCAACTTTATTGATATTTCTTCAAAATATCTAGTGCTCTATTTAACATTTGGTATAAATATATATTGTTGCTTTTGTGAAAGCATCTAACCTATGCTGAAAAAAAACTTATATGCACAATAATGCATTAAAAATATGACATCCGAAATCAATATTTCTACGAGAAAGAGCTGAGCGAGTCTAAAGACGAGCGCTACTTGTTTCATTGAAAAATAAAGAACAAATTGAGTAATATATATTGACCTTTTCAATAGAGGGTAATGCGATTTATTCTCGACGAGCGTTATTTATTTTTATTAGGTGCGCTGATGATATTTATTCTTTACGTTGAAAAAAGACATGAACATTCAACAAAGTTAGCTTCGACATAAAGCAACAGTTAATTGTTTTCCATTAATTTCGTATTTGCTTGTATTTTGTATGGCATGAATTGCTTGTTCTTTACTATTAAATAAAAGAACAGCATATCTAAATTTCAACAAAATTACCTTCAATCCATATCTGATAACTATTGAATTATTCTTACCCGGGCAAAATATGATCATCAGTTTTCATTATTGATTGGGAAGAAAGATCAACTGCGGGGCAATATTTAAGAATTTGACAATGACGAAATAATTCATATAAATTTTGTTCAGTTATATTTTCAGGTATTTGACGAACAATAACTTTCTTTTGTTCAATACTTTCCGAAATATTTGCACGTGAAATACATTTCCCAGCATATTCAATTTGACATTCGGAACCAAGAATTTGGAGATCAATTGGTCGTCGCAGATTCATTTCAGCTTCATGCGCTGTTCGGTGAAGAATAAAAGCATACCTGAAATGATAATAAAGAAGAATGATAAAAAATACATCTTGAAAATCCGTTTTTAATATACTTCAAATGTGATGATGTTCGATAGTGTTTTACTGTTACTCGTAGAGAACCAATAAAATATTTTAGTAATTCATCTTTAGTTACATGGTTTTTTTAATCCAGATACAAATAATGTTCGACGTTCAGTATTTTTTGGATCAATTATTCGTTTTCTTTTCACTAATTTGTCTTTTCTCATCGTTGTTGTCTGATCATTCTACATATATTTTCAAAAAGAAGATATCTATTTGTAATAGATAACTTACTGTATTTATATATTCATCAAATAAATTAGACATTGATTGAGTAGAGTTAATTTCCATTAAATCTTCTGTTAAAAGCTCAAAATGATTTTCATCAAAATAATAATCTGAATAATCTTCACAAGATTGATTGATATTTGTATGAATGTCTTTTAAAACTGAATCGATAGATAAGTGATCGATATGTCTAAAAATAATCAGTTGTTTTGAAAGTTGTATGTAATATTTATTTATGGAAGGCTCAATCGTAAATTCAAAGAGGTAAAAATTATAAACATATTGTGTTCAAAAACAACTTCTCTTAGAGTATTTCGATATTAGATCAACTTACGAACTATTCGTTGATGTTCTTTTGATAAGTACTAATAGTGCTCCTGTTAAAGTCATTATATAGGTGGGGTGTTATGATCGGGGTAAAACACATAAGATAATTTGAAACTGAGGTCAAGCTGTTCGTTAGAATGATCGATATTTTTTCTAAAATTTTATTTAATATTATATTGCAGTTGATTTCCTAGAAAGTTTTGGACTTGAACAGAATCCGTCATATACTGTGTGGGATATTTGTTCAGAGAATCTGTTCTGCTTTTCAGTTTGATTAAGGATAAGGGTGAGTATTAGGGAAAATAGATGTAAAGGTCTATTCTAATGAAATATATACTTATGGCACTAGTCAGAATGAGTACATATTTAATCAGCCTGTCATTTTTCACTAAATATATGAAATCCGTAGTTCTTTACCGAAATATAATTGTACTTTACTAGTTTATGCCTTGTCCATACAACATAAGTTACTTATTAATGATGATTTTTTGCAATTGACAAGGCGTATGCAATCATAAATACACGGGAGGAAAAGCTACTTGCATGTAAAGCAATCATTGACAATCACGGTTGCCAAAAAATCTATTATCTGTTTCGCGCCTATGAAAAGTTGATTGTCACAATGTCTACTGATGAAAACTATGTATGTTCAGAAAATACTTGAACCCTCCACCGAATACTAAAGAAAAACATAACAATCAAAAGCAATCATTGCAATCAGGTCCCCTTGAATAAATATACAACAAATACATTAGTTATAAAGAAGAAAATACATTAATCACTCATGCATATCTTTTCGTGTTCTCACTCAATGACTCAGAATTTTTTTACCAATGAAAAGTATGAATATTTATTAAACCTCTTCCCAGAATAGACGACCCTCGAGTCACCTCTGTTCAAGAAGCTATAACTCTGGAACTATGTTTAGGTCAAGGTTCGTTATTGTTTTAATTGACAGAGACGAGTTTACTCTTTCATTTTTAATTAGTTTGCGCTCGTTCAGGGCAAATCGAACCATTATTTTTCACTAAAACTTTTCACATTGGAGGAGATCTTCTATTCTGAGAAGGGATTTACTTATTTCATTAATCCAATAAATTATAAGGAACAAACTCTTACACGAATGTTTCTGATTCAAATTGAGAATTGGTTTCATTTGATGAATTATTATTCACTGGTGTTTGTATACATGCAGGTGAAATTGGTGAGGGAACCATTTCGTCTAAATGAGTAGTATTACATATCACAAACTATTTATCTATAAGAAGAAATAATACAATATACCTATTGTTGAATTAATTTGAATAGAATATGTTTGTGATCTATCTATGTAAATATGATCTAAAAGAAAAGAGAATTTTGAAAGAATAAAAATAAATAAGAAAGACCTTAACCTATTGTTAAAACTGTTTGATTATTTTCAATATATTCATAGAATGATTGAATATATTTTTCTACCAAGTCTGATTGCAATAACTTCAAATGAATAAGAAAATCTTTTGCATAAGACTGGCATTGACAAGAAGAAGTTTGTGTCGATTTATAAATATTTTCTATTGAACTTGGTAAAGGAAAATGTATCGTTTCATTCCATGACTAATTCTCTGTAAAAGATTGATAAAATGTTCCCGATGATAAAATAACAAATTCATTTTCTTGTTGATTGATTCGATAGTATTGAATATTATTTTCATAAAAAAACAAAGGATGAAGAAATATTTGTTGATGTTCAAGACAATTGGATTGATTCTGTTTAGAGAGTAAATCTTGTAAAATGCATCTTTGATGACTTGGAATAATATACCAATGATGATTCTCACCTTGACGATGATAATCAAGAGTGAAGAAAAACTGTTGTGCACAATTTAATGGAAATATTGAAGGTGATTTATGTGTTCGCCGGATATATGGATGAAATTGCTTTTGAATATCTTTTTGGAAGAATTTTAAGGTTGATTCATAAATAGAATGATAGACTGAGAAGTGGTCTATGGATGTTTTTTGGAGAAAAAAACTTTCATCCATTATATATGAAATATTCAACTGTTGATATTTGGATGAATTTAATAAATTTAGAAAATCATTTTCATTTTGTATACAGAATTTTTCTTGAAATGGTTTTTCTATTGAATTGATTTCCTCAACTGGGTAAATGAATTTTTTCGAAGGAATTTTGACTAACTGTTTATTAACTGAATTCGTTGAGAAAATATCGACTTTTTTCTTTAAATTTAATTTCCAATTTTCATTTAATTTAATTTTTATTGCACCATATTTAGCTAATAAATCTTCATGTTTACCAATGAAATAAATCAAGTTTTTCAATTGTTTTTTATTGATTTCTATCGTTGGAACATAAGTTGACATTTTGATTTTTGATCTACAATTAGAAAATTTATACAATTTCGTGTCATGTTGCTTTATATCTATCTTCCTCTCAAGAATTGCAGTATTTTCAAAGAAAATACGCATTTATACATTCGTTCATCGAAGAGAACAAAAGAGAATGATATTTCGGTAGAGGAGATACAAGATTGTTCTTTCGTTCATTGTACTAAATTACGGAAATATGATTCAACCCTGAAAAACTCGAAATTTGGTTGTCTCTTTCCATTCTTTCGAAAATTGCCGCCTTGCCCTTCGCATGTAATCTTCTAAAAGACCATACATACATATTTTGGAAGTAGCAGGGCATCGAGCCTTTCGTTTCACTGATGGATACGCTCCTACATGAGTTCATGGGGAATTTGATTTTGTGTGCAAATTCAATCAACTACATATTTTGACAAAATCAACGAGCCAACTTTCCGTAGCCGAAAACAAAAAGAAATCTTTTTGATTCTCCTTGTACAACTATTTCTATCCGTACAAACCCAACAGTCACGTAGTAACCATAACTCGATGCTTCACTTTATGGTCCTTACATCAGTACTATACCGGCATAGCGTTATATTTTATTCTGTAAGAAAACCGGGTTATCAGGAAATATTTAAGGCCTCAGCACAGATTCGGGACCTTTCAAGGTTTCATTCGTTCATCAATAAACCATCAAGAGGTTATAGACAATTGAAAAAGAAGATAACAAAACGCAATGGTTCCGCACACCCAAAATCGTTTGAGTTTACACTACTGTTTAAAATACGGTACCTTTACAGATGAACAATAGTAAGTGTTAGTTCTATATCCAGGATCCTTGGACCCCCATCATGGGCCGTAAGCCGCTATTTCAGCTGTACAGGCTCAGCCCTACAGGACTAGAGGCACTACACAAGATGTAGGCACTGAAATGACTGTTGTAGTCATATGACCTATAGAAGTATTAGAAATGTAGAGAGTATTAGAGTTATGGAACATAGAAAAATGTAATCAGCGTGTTCAAATTTCTATTATTTACCATTCAAGTAAAAATATTTGCATTTCAAATGCAGATTCGTTATTTTTTGCTGTGTTGTTTGGACCTTACTCGGTATTATTTAAATTATGCGAAAATGGCCCAACGTGNCCTATAGAAGTATTAGAAATGTAGAGAGTATTAGAGTTATGGAACATAGAAAAATGTAATCAGCGTGTTCAAATTTCTATTATTTACCATTCAAGTAAAAATATTTGCATTTCAAATGCAGATTCGTTATTTTTTGCTGTGTTGTTTGGACCTTACTCGGTATTATTTAAATTATGCGAAAATGGCCCAACGTGCACTTTGCTCAGAAAAATCTCGCCTTGTCTGGAATTCTAAATAATTCTCACATCATTTTTTTATATAAAACTAAGGACAGTCAATTATGTATGTTTGTTTCTTCAGTTGAATCAACTGGTTATACCTTTTGTGACTACTAGAAATGCTACCAGCCTGAGAGTGTAGATTTTAAAGTGAGCTTAATCCTTAAGTATTCTATTCTAATCAACAGTCTCGTTTTCCAAATGCAAGCATGTGAGTTCCACCTTTCTGCCCCAAAGGGGCTGTACTGACAAGCTTTTTTCAAGGAAAACTGAGTGTGATGTGCAGCAGTAAGGGTTGCACACCTCTAGACATGCACCAATACCGAACCTCTTGAGTTTTGAGGATTTGGTTTTGATCTTGATGTGATTTCAATACTTTTGCTCGTTTTTCAAGATAAATCGAGTAAGACTGTTTTCAACAAACAAAACTAAAACCCAATCAATACTAAAGTATTGAAATCAAAACCACATCAAAACCAAGCCTTTAATATCAAAACTTTAAAACTAGTTTTGGTATTGGTGCTTGTCTACCTATGCGGATCGACTGAGTTTTCATTGAACAACGGCTTAGCGGCGTAGATCAATCCACGAAAATCTTTATGAACGCTCTTCTGGGAAAGAACATCGGAGTCTTTTAGCTGCTTCTCCCAAAAAAATCTATAGGGCGGATTAAGTGTGTGATGCCCGAATCTGCAGAGAGTTTCTCTCATAATTAAATGCCGAGTCTATGTAAAAAGTATGCAGTATTTACACAATTGCCTTACTTGCTGTTCCTACACAAGTTATTTTAATAGGTACCTTTTATCTAATAGTCTATAGGCTCAAAAACTTTCGCAGATTCTCATGACTAATTCTCCGTAGGAGAGAGAGAGAACTGATATGCGTGTGTTGTATTGTATTAAATTTTTTCAAAGTTCTTATATATTAGTATCTCAGTTTGATGCACGGCCTTGCTTTTCCATTGATACTCACATTGATTTTGAATAGGATAGTGTAGAAAATTTTTATGATCTGTGCTATCTCAAGAGAGGAGTCTGTGCCTCATTGCATATCATATGAAGTCCTGCTACAGAGAAAGCGTGAAACACTTGATTAAACTTCGAAAGTTAGTCCATAAGGAAGTCTTAAAAGGTAAAATATTTGTTCGTTACTTCCGATTATTGTCATGAGTTGTTGAGATTAATTCGTGTTAACAAAAACGAAAATAGGATGTCGTTCCTTGAAAACAAACAGCAACACGAAAATCTACCATTTACGACGGTGAATACCATACAAATAATTGTAGTATTCGCAATATGTGCGTTATCGATGTTAAAATTGATGCTGATTATAGAATTTTTGGTGTTTATGCACCTGCTAGTCGTTCATGGTGTTGGCAGGATATGTCTCCTCTAGTTACTGATAGAAGTATTATTTTTGGTGATTTTAATATAGATTTAGAAAATGATGGTAATGAGGCTGAATATTTTATTAGATTGGACCGATTCTCTATCTGTTTCTCCCTTTATCTCTGATTGTTCCACTTCTCTTCGTTCTGACCGTACTATTAATTATGCTGTTTCAAATATTCCAGGTATTGAAATTCTAAAATTTTATACCACTACAACAAGTGATCATTTTCCTATTATTTCTGTTTTACCTATAAAATTAAATCACCCAATCTGTGGTAAATCTATTCATTGGAATGTCTTTCATTTGTTTACAGAATACACTTGTTCACATTAGGAAAAGTCATGGTCTCCTCAAACTTTTAACTTGTCTTATGATGTTTACATACAATTTCTTCATTTGTTAACAGTTCGTTGCACTACGACTTTTCCGTTGAGTAAATATAGAGTTGCTATTCCTCTAAATCTTCGTTGTTTTATGTTTCGTGCTCTCTCTTTCCGGATGATTCGTACCAATAATTCTGAACTCAAAAACGATGTTTATTTTCTTAGAAAACAAGTGAAAACTGAACTTCAATTATTTGTTTCTTCTCGTCTTTCATATCCCATTAAAATGAGACATTCTTCGTCGTGTATGTCGGTTTCTCTCTGGTCAAAAGTTAAACGATTTATTAAACCTTCTTTGGCTTCATTAGTTTGCTTTTATTCTTCTTCTAGTTCAATTACTAAAGACTCTAATGAGATGTGCAACATCGCAGCTAATTTCTATGAAAACCTCTTTAGCAAATCACAGAATATTGTAAGATCTCACCCATATGTTGATGCCCCTTTTGTAGATTTTGATAATAAAGATTATCAGATTCCACCCATTTAGATTGATGAACTTCTATTTACAGTTAATAGTTTTAAAACAAGAAATCTGCTGACGCACATGGTTTAAATAATTTCATGTTTAACTTCTTACATACATCTCATTGATCCTTTCTTCTTAATCTTTTTAATTTCTCCTTTTCGAACTCTTTTTTTCCTTCTTCTTGGAAGGACACTAGGATATTGTTGCTATCAAAAAATGATCCTATTTGTCTTCCTTCTCAAACACGACCAATTTCTTTTCTTGATTGTTTTCAAACAGTGACTGAAAAGCTTTTTCTATCTCGATTTCGTGATGTGTTGATTAGAAGAGGTTTGTTGTCTGATATTCAATCAGGGTTTAGAGAAAAGTTTAGGTTGCAGGGTGTGGGTGTGGGTGTGGGTGTTGGGTGGGGAGGGTGATGGGGGGGTATAATCTGTGTGAGAGTGCGGGGCAGGGTGTTGAGAAGGTATCGTGTACGCAGGGGTAAGTTACGTGGTATTTGAGGAAAGCATAGGTGAAAATATTAAGCAGAGCTCTCTGACACATTTACATGGAAAGTTGTGTTAGTGTTAAATAGAATAAAAGAAGGGTTTGTGACAGAAACCCTAATGTTCGATGGATAGGGATGCTGCATTTCGCTGTGCAACTGAGCAACAGGAGAGGCGATCCCGTAGATGGAGGAAGTAGGTAGCGAAGAGGGCCGAAGGCCTTCTGAGCGCTCGTACCCAAAAATCGAATGCGGGGTCACTCGAATAATTGAATACTCGAATAATTGAATACTTGAAGAGATAGTTGAATACTTGAATTCAAGTTTCGAGTTTGACACTACTGGAATGTTGATGATTTTTATTTTGCCTATTTTTCTGTATTTTTCGTTCTAACTATCCTACCTACTCCTTTTACCGCGGGGCCCGTGTGGTCATGAGTTATTCTTTCGCAAATATTAAAAAAAAATACCATACAAACAATATAGTTGTATTTACCTTAAAATATTATTTCGCTAGATTCAAAGTCGAAAATGAATGTTTAAATGTAATACGTGTATATCTAAACGGAACGATAAACAAAATGAAATTACGAAGAATGTACGTTTTTATTTCTTTCCTACTGCTGTGATCAATCAAGAATACATCGTTACTTTTTGTTGTAAGAGAAACATAAGTAAATGATTAAACGAAAGGTATCTTTCAATTATGTGCGCAGAGAATTGTACCTGTAAATAGCCTATAAGTCGGTGTGTATCGAGCGCATGCTTCGTCAGCGTTATGATGACTGTTCTCCTTTCACTTTTCTGTCCTGAGGGTGATGATTTTAAAGTGAGCGTTAGCTCGTGTTTCGAGCTGACGATGTTTATTTATATCTGAATGAATCTCTCCCAACACAGGAACATGCATGTATATTTATAG